CTCCCCCCAGCCCGGTGGGGCCCCTCGCCTTCCCCCTCACCTCCCCCTGGAGTCTCCAGCCCCGAACCGAGGCAGTCCGGTTCCTATTCGACTCGAGCACGGTCCCCGGGGAGGCGCAGAGCCGGGGCTCCTGGGTCTCTGCAAGTCAGGGGCGTAAACTTCGAGCTTGTAGGCTCCGAGAACCAGAATCCGGCGTCTTTCGGAGATTGGGGGGCAGTGGTCCGAATTTCTTTGGTCCTCTAAATGGAAGATGCTGGGAGTCTCGGCTCTTGGGTCTCAGTTGGGGGTGTTGGGGGCCCAAATTACTGAGTCTTCTAGATGGGGCAGTGAGGGGACCCGAATTCCTGTGAGTTCCCTAAATCTAGGAACAGGGATTAAACCACTTCCAGGCAGGAGCGCAGGGTGTCCCAAATTCCAGAGTCCTCTTGAAGTAGTGGGCGCTTCAACCCAAAACGGGCTGATTGAGGCGCTAGGCGTCTGTAACCCAAGTTCCTCCAACCCCGGGAGTCTTGAGCTCAGCTTTCTGGGAAACCCCAGAGGGAATCTCCAGTCTGGGATCCTAAATTCTTCGAAACCGGGTGCAGGAAGCTCAGCCTCCAGGGTCGCACGGGGCTAATGTCCCGGACTCCGGCACCTCCAGGAGGGGGCGCTGGGCACCTGGCTATCTGGGGTCCTCTAGCCTGGACGCCGGGGCTTGGGCTTCGGGGTCTCTCAAGACGCGGTGCAGAGATTCGGGCGGCTGGAGTCTGAGACTCTGGACCCGTCAGGCTCCGGGATGCGCGGCACGGGGCTCTGGCGGCGGCGGCGGCGGCGCCACATCTGTGGCTGTAAAGTCTGGTCCTAGCTGTGGGGCGGGGGCGGTCGCCTGGGGCTTCCCCTCCCCCCAGCCGCCCCGGCTCATATCCTGTTCCCGCCCGCGGGGGGGAGGGGCCGCCTTCCGGCCGGCCAGTCAGTGAGGGGTTAAGACCCCCTCCTCCCCGGATTCTGAATATTCATAAGAAGGCGCGTCCCAGGCAGGCTACACCCCCACATTCCTAACGCCTCGCGGACTTTTCCCTTTTACAGCAAGAGCCTTGGAGGCGTGAGAATCCGGAAATGGTGACGTACTTGCTCCTATTAGCCAACCCGAAGATTCTTTTTGGTATATGCAAGAACAAGGCGGGGCTGGCTCAGCGAGGTCACGTGGCCACGAATGACTGAAGGATCCCGCTGCGCAAGGGTGCGGCCGAAGCTCCAGTGGCGCAATCGGTTAGCGCGCGGTACTTATATAGCAGTGCGAGCGGAGCGATGCCGAGGTTGTGAGTTCGATCCTCACCTGGAGCAATTTTAACTTTCTATAAATCTATACATCTTTTTAATCAACCCAAACATCTACATCGTTTAGAGGAGTGAACGTTTCGATTTTCTGGATTTTCAAGCTGTAAAGACTCCTGGGGCTGGCGACGATCGGTTATGGAGTGTTTTGTGTGGTGAGGTGCCATTTTCCTCTTGGCCGCCAGGGGGTGGTATCGCCTCTTAGATGCCTAGACATTTAATTGCAAATACCAGTTTAAGACTTCTGTAAATGATGTCAGGCTGTAGGTCCTCCACAAAATGTGTATATTGATGTCACTGCTTCTTTCTCCATCTTTCTCTGTCTTGGATTTTCCCCTCCCCCCAGTCTTATTGAGGTAAAATTGCCACATAACACTGTTAGTCCAAGGTGTACATGATTTAAAATTGTATAAATGTAAAATTGTAAAAATGTATAAATTGTGAAATGATTACCACGATAAATGTAGTCGACATCAATTACCTCACATAGTTACTACTATTTTCCCTGTGTCTTGGAATTTTCTCTTTCCCTCTCCATTTCTGAATCAATTTCTTTTTTTCAACAAATCCTGAAATTTATAACCATTAATGTGACCGGTTCCTGTTTAGGGTTAGGTGTGAGTAATACAGCAGTGAACAAGACAAATTCCAAGTCCCTGCCCCTGAGGATTTGACATTCTAGTGCAGGGGGCAGATAACTACAAACGTAAGATTTAAGTACATTTTGTATGTTATATGATGGTAAACCTCATAGAAAAAGTCGAGCAAGGTAGGGAGGATGGGGGTTGCCATAATAGTACTCAGACACCATCTTACTGAGAAGACATTTGAGCAGAGACCTGAAGGAGGAGAGTGAGCCCTGGGGGAGTATTCCAGGCACAGGGAACAGCCAGTGCAAAGGTCCTGTGGCTGAAACATGTCAGACATGTTGGTGAAAGCCAGAGTGACTAGAGCAAGAGTGACCAAAGATGAGAGCCAAACTGTGTAGGCTGAGACTTTGGCTTTTCCGTGATCTGACTCAGGTGTCATGACAGGTTTCTTTTGGTTGTCGGGGAGCGGGGGAGAGTGGGGAGGAGACCGAGGACAGGGGCCTGAGCCAGGAGACCAGGAAGGGGCTGCCATGATGGTTCAGATGGGAGATGGTGCTGGATAGCACCAGGGTGGGGGCCAGAGGAGGAGACGGGAGGGTGGACTGTAGATCTCATTAGAAAGTGAATCAGACAGGACTGCTGCTGGATTGGGGTGCGGGTATGAGAAAGTCAAGGGGACCAACTCACAGGTAGCTGGTAGTAGGTGCCATTTTCTCAAATGAGGATTTGTTTAGAAGAAGCAGAGAATCTGTTTTTGCTAAGGGAAGGACCAGAGATGTGTTTCTTCTCGTTATTTCAGTGTCTGTAAATGTCTCTGTGTGGTTTGCACTTCCTCTCTGCACCCCCAATGTCTCTGGATCTCTGGGTTTCTGTTTCTCTTTCCCAACCCTCTTCCCCAAGTATGGGGACCTGAGCCCTTTCCCACAAGGTGGTGGTGGGGGAGTCCTGAAAGAGGAGATCAAAGGTCAGGGCCTGTCATTGGGCAAGGGAAAAGGGCTAATGCAGAGAGAGCAAGGTGTCAGGACGGGACGGGAGAAGGGAAAGGGACTACAAGGGACGAAAAGCACACTTACAGGCTATAGGGTGGGGAGGGAGGTGGAACCCAGGAGGTGAGTGGAAGAGGGGGAGAAGGGAGAGGAGGGGGAGAACTAGAAGGAAAGAGAAAGTGGGTAAAGGACAGGGGATGGGGGTCAGGAATGGAAGGAGATTAAAAACGGGAAGGGGAGAGGCGTGCTGGGGGAGGGGAAGAGTTAAAGAGGGTGGGGGAAGAAGGTGAGAGAAAGGGCGGCGCAGAAGGGTCCAGCGGGGAGGAACTCAGAGAGGGGAGGAGGGCCAAGAGAGGAAAGTGGGGAGAGAGGAAAAAAGAGGGCGAAAGAGACGAGGGGTCGAGGAAGAAAGGGCTGCGGCGGAAGCGGGGCGGGGCGC